TCTCTACCAAGAAATACAATGAAGAAAAAATAAAAATAACAATAATAAAATAGACAGAGATAGAAAGAAGGGAAAATAACAAAATTTAAATTCCATATTACACATAACGTCCCTTCGATTTGACTCGCTAGGATCCATAATGTGTTTTACATACAACATATATATGTATATATATAAATGCCCGCATACGTCTACCGGAAAGTTGCGAAAAATTGGCAGACTATACGGAGGATTAATTTCGTTGACTACTTCTTTTATTTTCTTAGGTATTCTTAAGAAAATTGCCATCGCGCCATCACCATTGCCGGATCTCGCAATTTTACCGACAATCTTTTTATTTTTTTTTTATTATTTTTTTTTTTTTTTACCTTTTTATTCCTCATCTTCTTCTTCTTCTTCTTCCTATTTCTTCTCTTCTTTCTAAACTCGCATTACAAATTACCGCAAACGTTTGTCTTTATTTTTCACGGTAAATATTTCCCTATCTTACTTAACTATTTTATTATTATAAAATATATACAGAAAATTAATATAAATTTGTTCTTTTTATTTTAACACCTTCCTTTCCACGTATATCGAAATTGATACACGTAACAATGAAACTTCATTAATTTATTATTATTAACAATATTATTTATTATGTTTTTAATTATGTAATCATCATTATGCAATCTTTCTCTTTCTCTTTTTAAGATACACACATATGGGATTGAGTTACAAAACTTTTTTATTAAAGATCAAAAACTTCAGTAATTACAGTAAACGTTTAACTTCATTTCTTCTTCCCTTTAACACGTATTTCGATTTACGACTAATGTTAGTTAGTATATATATATATTTATCCCCAAGTATATTTCTTTTCTAAAAACCACATACACATATATACACACATATATATCAAGAAAACACGCCTTGCGTATATGTACAATGGTAAAAGAAACATTGTTTTTTTATCAATCGTCAAAAACTTGCCTTAATTATCGATTTACTTCACCTAAACGTTTCACTTCGATATCCAAGTTTTTTCAATAGTACGATTAATTACTTTCCTAGGATTTACGTCCAACTACTATTTCTAAGAAAAATTCTAAAGAACGATTAGTGTAGATATTTATTTACCTAACTTGGTCAAAAAGAATTTTCGAGTGAAATGAATAAAACATCATGAACGAATAAGTTTAATTAAACAAATACAATAAATTGTACAAATGTAATAAATTGTTTATTAATAAACAAAATAAAATGTCCATGTTTGAAAACAATTAATTCACAAAAAAGAACAGAAATTAAACGATATATATTTGATTCATAATTTTCATCAAAGTCTTTGTCAAAAATATAATTGAAATCGAACTTTCAATTAAACCCTTTTAACACATATAAACCAATAAACATTATCGTACAAACCAACTAATTCATTAAATTACCAATGAAACCATTAAAACTCATTGAAATTAACTCATCAAATTAACAATCTGAGAAATTTACACGAGCCACCTAACCCCCACCACTAATCCGGTATTTCGTGATTTCTAACCTATAACTAGCCTAAAAAAATTGCAACAAAAAATATTTATATTTAAAAAAAAAAAAGGTTAGGGATAAGAAACAATAAAAAAAGAAGAAAAAATGTACTCTTATTATTATAAATATTATTATTATTATATATATATATATATATATATATATATATGTGTGTGTGTTATATAATCCACTTATGTTAGTGGTTTCTAACCTATGTCTACGGTAAATATTATCCAACAAACGAATATATATTTGAAAAAAGATGGTGAGGGTAAGAAACAAGAGGTAAATTTACTCATATTATTATATATATATTTTATATAATGCACTTAATGATTTCTAACCTATACCTCGTGTAAAAATTATCGAACAAAAACATATATACATATTAAAAATGAGATAAAGGGTGTTAGAAAGAAGAAACAGAATAAGAAGAAAGAATTTCCTCTTATTCGAAAACTACAGTTACCTCTGACCGTCGATCTAACACCGATCCGTTACGCAAGAGACTCCGTGGAAATGCTCGTGCCTGCTGTGTTTCCTCCTCCTCCAATTCCTTCAGCAATACCTCCTATACCTCCCTATACCTCTTTCTATCACAGTAAAACCTCCTCCTCCTCCTCCTCCTTCTCCTTCTCCTCTTCGAGGGGCAGCATGGAACGCGCGTTACGTGCGGTTTCCGTAAATTGCTACGTGCGAGTCCGAACCCCTGCTCGGATTCTCCGGAGTTCAGAGAAAAATAAAAAGAATAAGATAAAGAAAGATAGGAAAAAAAGGGGGAGGGTCGGGGGTGTGCTGGTGGAAAGGAAGAAGCAGTGGCAAGGGACAGGGGGCAAGGGAAAGACTAAAGAAGAAGAAGAAGAAGAAGAAGGGACTTAAAGAATGGTGAAGCAACATAGGGCTAGAGTAGGTAAAGAGGGGAGGGGCAGAAAGGGGAGGAATGAAGTAAAAGAAGAGGGCCGATCAGGCAACAGCCGCATCTCCTCTTTTCTTAAATGAATATAAAGTGAGATAGAAAATACCGATCTCGCGTGTCGCTGAGTTACGCGGAAACGCGGTCCCATACTCGGTCGTCCATGGTGTGTACTACTCTCCAACACGAACAGGGGAAAGTCAGCTATGAAAAATCATGTCTTATAGTGTTATGGGCTATGATATGGCTAACATAAGTTGTACACGGAAACCTCAGGCTGCTTTCGAGAGAAAACGTGATACCTTCGTGTTCTTCGTCTTTATCCTTTTTCTTTTTTTCTTTTTAACCAACAAGTGTGAATTATCTACGTTTGGATGGAAAAGTATTAATGAAAAAAATAAGAATAGGAAGAAGAAGAAGAAAATGATGATGATGATGATGATTATGATGATAAGGATGATGATGATGATGATGATGATGTGGCAAATAGGATTTCTTTAAAAACTTAGGATTCCTAATGTTTTCGTCAATTTCTTTACACACATTTCCTCGAACGTGATTCTCCTAAAGTTTAGTATTCAAATTCTTTTAGGTTTATAATTGGAAGATAGTCAGGGATCATTGTTTTGTATGATTATTTGGAAAGTTTGTTGTAAAGGTAATTCTTGTAACGTTTAGGATTTGACATTTTTTGTTTTGTTTTTAAGTTACTGTGGGTTAAATTATACGGTATTTTATGGTTAGATCAACGAGGTACATGATCGTGTTCTTCTAATTGGATTTTATATTTCGATAAATGAATATGAAACGAGTGAAAGCTTGTCAAGAAATTATTTCTCTCTCTCTCTCTCTCTCTCTTAGTATTTTAATATTATAAATCGTAAAGGAAAAATTATTTCTAATATTCGATTTAATAAAATATATTGAAAGGATTGAAATGATTATATTTGGTTTAATAAATAAATTATTAACGATTAAGGGGTATGTACTACGAAAAGAAACGATTTGTTTTAATGTAAAATCACTATAATAAAAAAAAAGTCAATTCTTTCGTAGTTATTTTTATCATATAATGAATAAAAATTATACACCATCAATCAAGTTAAACACAAAGTATTATTTTAAACACAAGTATTATTTTAATTACGACTATTTATTGTTTTAGAGGGTTGTCGATGATTGGGATCATTTACAAGTGTTGTCATCTATCCAAGAAGTCTTCAAGTTTTATCCTAAGCCGAAACAGTCAACACCATCTATTGGAATTCTTTCCAAATATTCGAACAACTTCTACCAACAGTAAATTCGAAATTCTTTATACTTTATTCGAATCAATAACACGATTGGTAAAACAGTTCTTACGTTCTATCGATAAAATAGAATTCACAAACGTTTTATGATGAATCGAAGCGAAGATTAGTTTTTAACTCGATCGGTAAAAACGAACATTTTTTAATGAAGTTTCGATGTATCCACCTACGATTTATGAATCATTTTTTTAAAAGAACGACTGATTATTTGAGAATAAAATTAATACGATATTAACAAATAAAATTGAATTAAAAAATAGATGTATTAATTTTAATATTTTGTTAACATTAAAATCAAATATTTTTAATGATAATATTCCTAAATATTAAAAATCTAACCAAATATATTAATTAATGTATTCTATTTTCACTATTTAAATCTGCAAATTATCAACAAAATAAAATATTATTATAACAAAGATGTTTTAAGAATCTTTGTGTGAAGAATATTGTATAAATATTTCAAACAAAAGATCGCGTGACCGAACACAACCCTTCCATTGTATTTTTCATTTTATTTTACCCTTCTTCTTTCTCTCCCACTCCTGTTTCTTATTTAAACCGTTTCTTTTCTGTTCTCTTGTTCACCAAACGATTATTATTATCAGAATTACAACAAATTACGAGGAATTATAGTTGGTAACTCGTATACATCTTCGTTGCACCTGCATCATCATCACCGTCATCGTCGTCATACATACACAATGCAAATAAGAAGCTACATTGAGTTTGACACTTTGACAGTTCGAATTGATGTAAAATTAGAGAGAAAGGAAGATACGTGTCGTTCAATTTTATAGTTTACTAAAGACATATTTCGTGAAATGAAATGTTATTTTTACATAATTTGTTAAAAACCGAAAAGGCCAAACATTGTTGAGTAAATGCAGTTAAATGCATAAACATTCATTTTTATTTAATTATGAAATTATATAATTGAAATATGTGTTAATTGAAATGAAGTAGTAATAATTATGATTTTAATTTAATCAAATCTTATAATTGATACAACATAATTAAAATAATTAAATGAAGCTTACAACATTTCTAAAATTATTACCACAATTATTATATAGTGGTGAAATTATATTGTTAATAAAATATATTAATAATTATATAAGAATTGTTTATAATTTAAATAATATTGAATACATAAATGCGTGTATTGTTTAATATTTTCCAAGCACCAATTTTAATTTAAAAAAATATTATCAAATACTTTTACCTTATTTTATTCTTTATGAATAAAAATATATATATATATATTTTTTTTTGTATTTTTTAATTGTTTTTAATCAGAAACTTCTTCGCCGGTTCTTTTCTTCCTCGTCCAAATTTCATTCGACATACTATTTTGATCATTAAAAAAATATTTTTAAAAAATACTGAACGTATTTAAATTATTCTAAACTATTTAATAGTCTGTAACAATTAATAATAATTAATAATAATTAAAAACTTACTCCTCTGAAGGATCTTTCGAATATCCTGCTAAAGTTCGCCACAATTCCCTAGGTCCTTCGATAGCAAGTGGAAAATTTTGCCAAGAATATGATTCTAAAAGTTTCAATTAAACAAAATTAAATCAACAATCGTTGTATTTAAATAAAACAATGAACTTACGATCCATCAGGGAATAATCCAAACGTCTTTTAAGTGGTTTCGCAAAGTGTTCAGAATTTTCATGCGATTGCCAAGACTGCGATGATTTCAAAACAAAAGTTTAAACAATAAAATAGCAATTAATAATAAGAAAAAGATTTAAAAAAGAAAAATGAGACTTGATTACACATACTTTCGAATTATCGTAGTATTTTTCTGAATTAGGATTATTGTTAGTGGATTTTGAATAAAAATCTTCAAACTTTTCACTTCTTCCAACTCGTGGAATATTTTTAGCAATTTTTAAAAAAAATGCTGGAACTTCGTCAGCTTTCACAGAACATTGTACGAGAAATAATATCAAAATTGATCCAAGAAAAGCTAAAAAATAAAATCAAACGATTTCATGCAAGTTCAATTTAATGTAAAAAAAAAAAAAAAATAATATTAACTCATAAAATTGAATATTAATTTTACCATTGTAAAATAATTTCCTTGGCCAATCGCGTGATCGAGTAACAAACATCATAGTTTGATAATTAAAATTATCTCTGTATTGTTAAATACAAAATTATTATAAATTATTAACTGCCTATTTTTATATCAAACGATTTTTCTTTAAAACGTACCTGTACTTTGTTTGAACTTCAGAAATAAACTGTAACGAGTGAGTTCTGAAATTCTGTGTATTTATACTCGATTAAGATCGAATTAAATATTTCAATCATGCATCAGTTGTTAATCGATTTTACCCTCATAGTGTTTGATCAAATTGAAAAACTTTAGTCATTGCAATTATTGAAATCGAATTTTTCTACAAAATGTGAATGATTCTACAAAAATAAAAATGTATCTAATTTATTTTATTATTTTATGATTGTTAGAATATTTTTAGTATGATTATAAAACATGCAAGGTACTATAATTTAAATGTTTAGAGGAAGGAAGGAATAAAATGTTAAATATGTGTAACGTATTTTTATTTAAAATGTGTACTAAATAATTAGCAAATTATTAAACAAATTATAAATGATCGAATAATCAAATATAATTTATTTAGATAATAAAAATACATGAGTTGATCAAAAAATTGTGAGGGTTATTAACAAAATTATAAAATGTTAAATATGTGTAACATATTTTTATTCAAAATGTGTACTAAATAATTATCAAATTATTAAACAA